TGACTGCTTTTTCAAATTTGTCTTTTGACGTCCTTGTCTGTGATATACACAGTTTTACTAACATGAAGAAAAGCCGCTTTCAAAACTGTTTCATTTGAAAAAAGTATTTCTATAAATTTAATGATCCCTTATACACGGAAATGTTAATTATTTCTATGCAACTGTCTCATTATTGTAACAGATATAATCTTAACATAGTCGATCTGTTTTCTGGTTGGGAAGTGTTTTTTCCCAGCTAACTAGGTGCTTGTATCAACTTAGAATTAACAGCTTGCGTTAACCCTTTACCTCATATAGACGTGAGAAATGTTGTTAAGAAAGTGATCGCTTTTTCGGCGCCGCACTCATCAGAACAGAACAGAACAGAACAGAAACTTTATTACTTGGTTTAAGCATAAAAAGCTCATCACCATATTAAATATACAAATACAACATATAATACATAAATGACACATGACATGAATATATATAATTACAAAATAATGGTTTATGTGATGTGAGAATGTTTAATTTGAGATACGAAATTACTTACAAAGAATATGAATACATATATATATAATACACAAGAATTGGCCTATCTTTACCAAACATTATCAATTTAAGCTACAATACATTTTCTTTTATGTGAATACAAAAAAGCAAACTATGACAAATGAAGGGGGATAACTTAGGTAACTTTACATGACCAGTATTTTAACATTTACTTCCCCTTAATAATTCATGAATTCATTTCTATATGAAAAATGAATACATTTACTGATTTTGTACGTTTTTTTTATAAATATAAAGAAAAGAAAAGAAAAACCCCACACAAAACAGACCAATACCTAAAACAACTAACACTTGACTTAATTATAAGGATTAGTTTTGTCAAAACATTTTATCATGGTATTTATATTTGGTTATGTGTTGAAAAACAAATTTAGTTAATTTGAGAAGTTACAAATATGATCAAATAAAAAATTAAAAAATATATGTATATATGTACAATTTCATATTCACATATAACTTTACAAATCTACATGATGGATATACAATGCACATTTAACAGTTACAATGATACTTTTTTCATTTTTTTAAACAACAGAAAAAACCGAGAAAGAAAGTAAAGCTTACATGTCAGTATAATTATTATAACAAACTATCCCTCAATTTAAAAGCTTTATCACAGAATATAGCTAAATTTTTCAGTTCTTTCTTGCGACCAGTTTGCATTAATGAAATGAATTTAAACATACTTGTGTTGCAATACTAGTATCTTGGAATGTATTGCTTTCTTAACTCAGAATATATCGGACATTTAAGAATAAAGTGAAATTCATCTTCTATATCATTCATATAACATAAAGTGCACTTTCGTTCATTCCTTGGTACATTATTATGTCTTCCTAACTCGATATTAAGTTTGTGTGAGGAGAGTCTTATTTTTGCTAAAACATTTCTATATTTTACATTTTCAATATATTTTATATATAACGATTGTTCAAATGTGATCTTATATTCCCTATATACATCTAACAATGATGAAGATTGAATACCATCATTCCAACAACTTATATAAATATCCCGTAATCTATTTCTAAAAACAGGTACAAATAGTTTTACATTAACAGAATCGGGATATAACCAGACTTCATTAAATCCTGCTGACTGAAGGATGTTTTTAACTTTTGAAGCCCAGTTTGTTGAACAATTTACCACATCAACATCATATATCTGTCTACACAATATTGTTCTCAATTTACAATTATCTTTTTTACTTGTATTTAACTTAAGAAAATATTTAATCATACGAATATGCCTTTCAATGTAAAGAGGAAATCTCCCCAATTCTGCATATAATGCCAAAGTATTTGTCGACTGTTTAACATTTAAAATAAACCTACAAATTTTTTTATGTACTCGTTCCAAAACTTCTGCATTCATAAACCCCCATACTTCACAGTCATAATTTAAAATTGATAAAACATAGGCGTCAAAGAGATTAAACATAATGTTAACTGGTACTTTGTAGTCACGTAACAATTGTAACAATGAATATAATGATCTGAGCCCTTTCCCAGCTAACGTTTTTGTAGCTTGCATGAATGACCCACCACTCGTGAATACCACACCTAAGTAGTTAAATGAATTTACTACCTCGACTTCTTGATTATTATAAAACCACTTATCCATATTACCAAGTCTACCACCTTTTCTGAATACAATTATTTTTGTCTTTTCAACATTTACCGTCAAATTCCAACGATTACAATAGGACAATAAACTATCAAGTGACTTCAGCAAACCAGACCTAGATTCTGAAATGATGGCGGCATCGTCAGCAAACAACAATAAATAAATTGATATTTGGTCGATATTAAGACCAACGTCAATATTTTCTTGCAGGTGTAATTCGATATCATGCAAGAACAGGGAGAAAAATATAAGGTACATCAAGAGGTTGCCAGTCCCCCTCATCGCCAAGAAAATTTTGAATATGTGACAGGCTAAAAATGGCATCAGGTCGATCGTAAGGTAACGTGTAACCAACGCTGAAAAGCCTTTTACTCTATCTCAATCCATTGAGAAGTTGCAGCACTTCGAAATCAGTTTTGATGAAAAAACCAATCCAAAATAGTGATTTTTGGCAATTTTGAGACGTTCTCCCGTTGCCATGGTAACAGGAAATTTAAGATTGAGCATGCTGTTACAGCGGCTATGGTCCAGATAACATTTGTGCCAAGTTTGGTTAGTATTGAAGAATTTTTCATAGTTTCATAACAGTTTGAAACAGGAGGCTTTTCAATGAAAACGGCCATTTTTTACAATATGCTCATGAGGTAAAGGGTTAATTAAAAAAAATAAAAATGCTACAAAACAACAATTTTTCACCAAAACTAGGTGAAAGGCCACGTGTTAACATGGCAAAAACTAGATTTTGGGTAATTCCAAGGTGTTTCATCTTTATATGTTAAAGCAAGTCATTAAACACAGAAATTTGTATATAAAATGCATACTGCTCATCAAAATTATTCAGTGATTTCAAAAAACAATATTTAATGGAGGAAATAAAACATTTCTAATACTACATGTAATTAACAGATCATCACCACCACCACCACCACCACCACCACCACCACCATCATCATCATCATCATCCTCGTATACCATACCATTTCCACGTAACAAGCGTATAATCAGCCAAATTACATTTGTATTTATAAAAATATCTCGTAAAAATAGATCCTACTTAAATTCCATTTAAGGACATGCATGATTGGTGACATGTCCTCGGCCCGTGCTCTCAGTGCCTTAAAGGGCGGATGAACTTTATTGAACTTAGAACACAAGATAGATCCTTTGGCTAAAATTTATTGATCAAAATAAACTTTAATTGACAGTCAATGGATGTATGTGAAATAGCTAACTGGTTTAATCAGGAACAAAACTATACATGCATATGAATGTAAACAACCTAGCTGTCCGTTACAATCAATTAAAAAAAATTCTACTTGTTTAACTACCATTACCTTGTAATTATATAGATGTGAGTACTAAGATGCACATAAAGTGGACACGAAACGCGCTTTAAGTTAATTTAGTGTAATTACACGTGTATGAATAGGTGGCTTAAACTATAAATGATTGAGATTAACTTTAAAATTAAAATGTTGGCAGATGGCATCTAGAAACAGTGCAGTGATAAAAAATAATGATTGTAACTCTCGCATCATCTACCTTTACCTAGTTTTTGTGTTTAAACAGCAAAAACGTAATCTGAAACTATATCCTATTTTTTTTTCCTTGATTTAATTTCTAAATTGATTTCCTTTTTTAAACATTGCAGAGCTCTAAGTGAAATGAAACTAAATTGCTAACCGATAAGTGCAGTTAAACGAACAATAACTCTGTTTGGTTACTTTTCAAAAAAATATTTTCCTTTGATAGACCTGTGTCACGAATGAAACACTATTTGGTACGGCACTGCGCTTTTTGGTACGGCGCGATAAAGTTATTATCCATTTAGTTCTTCTTTTCAGGAGACAAAGATAGTATTTTGCGAAAAATACGATGATATTTTTGAATAAGCACAAACTGGCGACCGATAACGTAACGACCAATAACAGCGAACGATAGTACTTTGAGTTACCTGTCCTTGTATTTTTTATGTTTCATAAGAATTACAGAGCTATCGACCTAGGCTGTGACTAAAAAAGGATTGGAGCACCACACTAAATACCGTATTCCGGTATATACCGGACAAGGCGCTTGAATGATAAAATGCTAAAATCTTGTCTTTTTACCCAACGGAATGAACTTTAACAGGTCTAATTCATCTTTTCACACCGAATCAAGTACGATAATCAAGGAAAAATGTAAAATTCGGCGAAAAAAACGATATTTGTCTATTTTGTGATCATGATTTCTGCAAGCGTCTAGAGGTACTGCTCCAATCCTGTATTGAGCTAAATCCATCGACCAATAAGCTCTCGGTTAAACACTGCTATTGATTTTTAGGTCAATAACTTGATTTTGTTAATATACGGTTCATTCATCGGATGAAAATGAGCTTTGTATTGTATTGTATTGCTTTTTATAGCAGATGCATAATAAAGCAATTGAAATGAGCTTTGTATTGTATTGCTATTTAAAGCAGATGCATAATAAAGCAATTGAAATCAAATTTGTATCCTTGGTGACAATAATTATATCAGGCCTTGTCGGACACCTAGGCATGCAGTCACTTGATAGGATGTGTCATTTATCTCTGTCTTTAATATTATAAATTTCTGCTTTGTAACACATTTACTGGGTGTGGTTTTTTTTCATTGATCTCATCATCTGTCTTGCTAATAGATCAGTTATCAATCCAATTAAAGAGCACCTTATTTAAGTAAACATTTGGATTAAATATCAATTGTTACTATAATAATGTGCTTGCTCAGTATACTAATTACTGTCCCGAGAACAATAACCATGGGTTGGAGTCTTGTTTGGTTTACAAAAAATACTCACAATAAATTTCAGTAAGATTTATTCAACAATTCCTCATTTTAACACAATCACATACTACCGTAAACATGATCTTACATTTTAATTAAAGCGGTTCATGTAAAAGCAATCATACAGACAATATCTTTCGCAAAAGTTGAAACACAAGTTAAAGGTTACAATCATGTATGTATACAAAGTTTCTTGTGGTCAACAGTTGCACTACAAGTAGGATGAAACAAAATAGACAGAGAATAAAGAAATATAACCCCATAAGTATGTACTAAATAATAGCTACAAATGAGGCAAAATTTAAAGTCGTACAATCACCTGGAAAAAAGTTAAGTTATTCAAAATGTCACATTCACATAAAAATATAGAGAAAAGGCCGCCCTTGTCAGTATGACCCAAAATAGACAGAGATTAAAGAAATGTGACCCCATGAAAGCGGGTACAGGTATGTAGTACTATATAATAGCTTCAAAATGAGACCAAATTTAAAGTTCTAGTATGACCTAGATGGAAGTTACACTTTGTCACAATATCACATTCACATAAAAATATAGAATAAAGGCCGCCCCTGTCACAATAACCCAAAATAGACAAAAAATAAAGAAATGTGACCCCATAAAAGGGGGTACAGGTATGTAGTACTATATAATAGCTTCAAAATAAGACCAAATTTAAAGTTCTAGTTTGACCTAGATGGAAGTTACACTTTGTCACAATATCACATTCACATAAAAATATAGAATAAAGGCCGCCCCCGTCAGTATGACACAAAATAGACAAAAAATAAAGAAATGTGACCCCATAAAAGGGGGTACAGGTATGTAGGACTATGCAATAGCTTCAAAATGAGACCAAATTTAAAGTTTTAGCATGACCTAGATGGAGGTTACACTTTGTCACAATATCACATTCACAAAAAAAAACATAGTATACAGGCCGCTCCCGTCAGTTTCACCCAAAATAGACAAAAAATAAAGAAATGTGACCCCATAAAAGGGGGTACAGGTATGTAGTACTATGCAATAGCTTCAAAATGAAACCAAATTTAAAGTTCTAGCATGACCTAGATGGAGGTTAAACTTTGTCACAATATCACATTCACATAAAAATATAGTATACAGGCAGCTCCTGTCAGTATGACCCAAAATAGACAAAAAATAAAGAAATGTGACCCCATGAAAGGGGGTACAGGTATGTAGTACTATATAATAGCTTCAAAATGAGACCAAATTTAAAGTCCTAGCTTGACCTAGATGGAAGTAACACTCTGTCACAATATCACATTCCCATGAAAATAAAGAGAAAAGGCCGCCCCTGTCAGAATAACCCAAAATAGACAAAAAATAAAGAAATGTGACCCCATAAAAGGGGGTACAGGTATGTAGTCCTATATAATAGTTACAAAATGAGACCAAATTTAAAGTCCTAGCTTGACCTAGATGGAAGTAACACTCTGTCACAATATCACATTCCCATGAAAATATAGAGAAAAGGCCGCCCCTGTCAGATTAACCCAAAATAGACAAAAAATAAAGAAATGTGACCCCATGAAAGGGGGTACAGGTATGAAGTCCTATATAATAGTTACAAAATGAGACCAAATTTAAAGTTCTAGCATGACCTAGATGGAAGTTACACTTTGTCACAATATCACATTCCCATGAAAATAAAGAGAAAAGGCCGCCCCTGTCAGATTAACCCAAAATAGACAAAAAATAAAGAAATGTGACCCCATGAAAGGGGGTACAGGTATGTAGTACTCTATAATAGTTACAAAATGAGACCAAATTTAAAGTTCTAGCATGACCTAGATGGAAGTTACACTTTGTCACAATATCACATTCACATAAAAATATAGAGAAAAGGCCGCCCCTGTCAGAATAACCCAATATAGACAAATAATAAAGAAATGTGACCCCATGAAAAGGGGTACAGCTATGTAGTACTAAATAATAGTTACAAAATGAGACCAAATTAAAAGTCCTAGCATGACCTAGATGGAAGTTACACTTTGTCACAATATCACATTCACATAAAAATATAGAGAAAAGGCCGCCCCTGTCAGTATGACACAAAATAGACGAAAAATAAAGAAATGTGACCCCATGAAAGGGGGTACAGGTATGTAGTTATATATAATATCTACAAAATGAGACCAAATTTAAAGTCCTAGCATGACCTAGATGGAAGTTACACTTTGTCACAATATCACATTCCCATGAAAATATAGAGAAAAGGCCGCCCCTGTCAGAATAACCCAAAATAGACAAAAAATAAAGAAATGTGACCCCATGAAAGGGGGTACAGGTATGTAGTACTATATAATAGTTACAAAATGAGACCAAATTTAAAGTCCTAGCTTGACCTAGATGGAAGTAACACTTTGTCACAATATCACATTCCCATGAAAATATAGAGAAAAGGCCGCCCCTGTCAGAATAACCCAAAATAGACAAAAAATAAAGAAATGTGACCCCATGAAAGGGGGTACAGGTATGTAGTACTCTATAATAGTTACAAAATGAGACCAAATTTAAAGTCCTAGCTTGACCTAGATGGAAGTAACACTCTGTCACAATATCACATTCCCATGAAAATATAGAGAAAAGGCCGCCCCTGTCAGATTAACCCAAAATAGACAAAAAATAAAGAAATGTGACCCCATGAAAGGGGGTACAGGTATGAAGTCCTATATAATAGCTTCAAAATGAGACCAAATTTAAAGTCCTAGCATGACCTAGATGGAAGTTACACTTTGTCACAATATCACATTCACATAAAAATATAGAGAAAAGGCCGCCCCTGTCAGATTAACCCAAAATAGACAAAAAATAAAGAAATGTGACCCCATGAAAGGGGGTACAGGTATGTAGTACTATATAATAGTTACAAAATGAGACCAAATTTAAAGTCCTAGCTTGACCTAGATGGAAGTAACATTTGTCACAATATCACATTCCCATGAAAATATAGAGAAAAGGCCGCCCCTGTCAGAATAACCCAAAATAGACAAAAAATAAAGAAATGTGACCCCATGAAAGGGGGTACAGGTATGAAGTCCTATATAATAGTTACAAAATGAGACCAAATTTAAAGTCCTAGCTTGACCTAGATGGAAGTAACATTTGTCACAATATCACATTCACATAAAAATATAGAGAAAAGGCCGCCCCTGTCAGAATAACCCAAAATAGACAAAAAATAAAGAAATGTGACCCCATAAAAGGGGGTACAGGTATGTAGTCCTATATAATAGTTACAAAATGAGACCAAATTTAAAGTCCTAGCTTGACCTAGATGGAAGTAACACTCTGTCACAATATCACATTCCCATGAAAATATAGAGAAAAGGCCGCCCCTGTCAGAATAACCCAAAATAGACAAAAAATAAAGAAATGTGACCCCATGAAAGGGGGTACAGGTATGTAGTACTCTATAATAGTTACAAAATGAGACCAAATTTAAAGTCCTAGCTTGACCTAGATGGAAGTTACACTTTGTCACAATATCACATTCACATGAAAATATAGAGAAAAGGCCGCCCCTGTCAGAATAACCCAAAATAGACAAAAAATAAAGAAATGTGACCCCATGAAAGGGGGTACAGGTATGTAGTACTCTATAATAGTTACAAAATGAGACCAAATTTAAAGTCCTAGCATGACCTAGATGGAAGTTACACTTTGTCACAATATCACATTCCCATAAAAATATAGAGAAAAGGCCGCCCCTGTCAGAATAACCCAATATAGACAAATAATAAAGAAATGTGACCCCATAAAAGGGGGTACAGGTATGTAGAACTATATATTAGGTTCAAAATGAGACCAAATTAAAAGTCCTAGCATGACCTAGATGGAAGTTACACTTTGTCACAATATCAAATTCACATGAAAATATAGAGAAAAGGCCGCCCCTGTCAGATTAACCCAATATAGACAAATAATAAAGAAATGTGACCCCATAAAAGGGGGTACAGGTATGTAGAACTATATATTAGCTTCAAAATGAGACCAAATTAAAAGTCCTAGCATGACCTAGATGGAAGTTACACTTTGTCACAATATCACATTCACATAAAAATATAGAGAAAAGGCCGCCCCTGTCAGTATGACACAAAATAGACAAAAAATAAAGAAATGTGACCCCATGAAAAGGGGTACAGCTATGTAGTACTAAATAATATCTACAAAATGAGACCAAATTAAAAGTCCTAGCATGACCTAGATGGAAGTTACACTTTGTCACAATATCACATTCACATAAAAATATAGAGAAAAGGCCGCCCCTGTCAGATTAACCCAAAATAGACAAAAAATAAAGAAATGTGACCCCATGAAAGGGGGTACAGGTATGAAGTCCTATATAATAGTTACAAAATGAGACCAAATTTAAAGTCCTAGCTTGACCTAGATGGAAGTAACACTTTGTCACAATATCACATTCCCATGAAAATATAGAGAAAAGGCCGCCCCTGTCAGAATAACCCAAAATAGACAAAAAATAAAGAAATGTGACCCCATGAAAGGGGGTACAGGTATGTAGTTATATATAATATCTACAAAATGAGACCAAATTTAAAGTCCTAGCTTGACCTAGATGGAAGTAACACTCTGTCACAATATCACATTCCCATGAAAATAAAGAGAAAAGGCCGCCCCTGTCAGATTAACCCAAAATAGACAAAAAATAAAGAAATGTGACCCCATGAAAGGGGGTACAGGTATGAAGTCCTATATAATAGTTACAAAATGAGACCAAATTTAAAGTCCTAGCTTGACCTAGATGGAAGTAACACTTTGTCACAATATCACATTCCCATGAAAATATAGAGAAAAGGCCGCCCCTGTCAGAATAACCCAAAATAGACAAAAAATAAAGAAATGTGACCCCATGAAAGGGGGTACAGGTATGTAGTACTCTATAATAGTTACAAAATGAGACCAAATTTAAAGTCCTAGCTTGACCTAGATGGAAGTTACACTTTGTCACAATATCACATTCCCATGAAAATAAAGAGAAAAGGCCGCCCCTGTCAGATTAACCCAATATAGACAAATAATAAAGAAATGTGACCCCATAAAAGGGGGTACAGGTATATAGAACTATATATAAGCTTCAAAATGAGACCAAATTAAAAGTCCTAGCATGACCTAGATGGAAGTTACACTTTGTCACAATATCACATTCACATAAAAATATAGAGAAAAGGCCGCCCCTGTCAGTATGACACAAAATAGACGAAAAATAAAGAAATGTGACCCCATAAAAGGGGGTACAGGTATGTAGTCCTATATAATAGTTACAAAATGAGACCAAATTTAAAGTCCTAGCTTGACCTAGATGGAAGTAACACTCTGTCACAATATCACATTCCCATGAAAATATAGAGAAAAGGCCGCCCCTGTCAGATTAACCCAAAATAGACAAATAATAAAGAAATGTGACCCCATAAAAGGGGGTACAGGTATGTAGAACTATATATTAGCTTCAAAATGAGACCAAATTAAAAGTCCTAGCATGACCTAGATGGAAGTTACACTTTGTCACAATATCACATTCACATAAAAATATAGAGAAAAGGCCGCCCCTGTCAGTATGACACAAAATAGACGAAAAATAAAGAAATGTGACCCCATGAAAGGGGGTACAGGTATGTAGTTATATATAATATCTACAAAATGAGACCAAATTTAAAGTCCTAGCTTGACCTAGATGGAAGTAACACTCTGTCACAATATCACATTCACATAAAAATATAGAGAAAAGGCCGCCCCTGTCAGTATAACCCAAAATAGACAAAAAATAAAGAAATGTGACCCCATAAAAGAGGGTACGGGTATGAAGTCCTATATAATAGCTTCAAAATGAGACCAAATTTAAAGTCTTAGCATGACCTAGATGGAAGTTACACTTTGTCACAATATCACATTCACATAAAAATATAGAATAAAGGACCGCCCTGTCAGTGTGACACAGTGTGACACAAAATAGACAGAGAAGAAAGAAATGTGACCCAATGAAAATGGGTACAGGTATGTAGTACTTTGCAATAGCATCAAAATGAGACCAAATTTAAACTTCTATCATGACCTGGATGGAGGTACACTTTGTCACAATATCACATAAAAATATAGAATAAAGAACCGCCCTTGTCAGTATTACACAAATGGTCATTTAACCAACAAATGTGATCCAATAAAATATGGTACAAGTAAATTCAAGTATACGATAGCTACAAAATCTGAGCAAAAATTTAGTCTCAACATTTTTTGATTGACGCTACACCTTTTTTCAAATAACGCATTCACATGGTTAAAAAGTCAGACAATCACAATCAAACAAAGTGAGCATGAGCATTTTAAAAACATCTCATCATATTGACCATTTTCCTTGAAATATTGAATATTTCTGTCTGAACTATTATTGCTTAAGTGTCATTAAGTGAATTAATGGTGAAAAAAGCAAATCATGGAAAGAGGACATGAAATATTTTACAACATATGATCATATTAAAAGAGAATGTCATTTTGCAACCAAATATAAATGTGGCTGTTACAGACAGACTATCACAACTGTACTTTCTAAAAATCCAGTTAACACACTAACAAGTTAATACAGAAAGTTAAGTACATAGTGCACTGTACTGTTATGATGATTAAATACATTTGTAAATCATTCTACATTCATCTGGCAATCAATAAAGCAAATGAAAACATCCATCTACTTGTATTTAATCAGGTAGAGTGATAATCCAATCAACATGTCTCTTTGGCTCTGAAATTAAACAGAAGAAACATTAACAGTTGCTTGATCTACAGTGTTGTTTATTAGCAACTGAGCAGCATCTTTAAAAAAAATTGACTTCTACATATACTTATATTTGTATACTCAATTATCTAGAACATATTGTAAACAAGTTGTTAAAACATATAAATCACTCTCCATACTCATTCCAGATGGAATTAACCTATTACAGAGAGAGGCAATGTATAGATATTTATTTATTTGCTGAGGTCACTACAAACATGACTATGGTCGAAATAGAATTTCTGGATCTTTGATGAAGATGGAAATTTAATAACAGCTGTCCAAATGCCCGAAAAAGAGGTAGTCTGTGTCCTATTCTCGTGCTCAACAATACTGCCATGTAAATTTAAATTTTAAATTCGCTCCATGAATGATGATTTACCATGCATACATGATTCCTTTAGTTTTAAACTGTAAGCCATTGTTGTTATATGTTAAATGCTGTCATGATGTGCCAAATTATTTAAAAATAAATCAAGGTCTTAGAAAGTTACAGTCTGGACATGGAAACAGGATTTCATTACATATACTCTAAGTCTGACCTGGACAGTTGAGGTAGTGATGGGTCTTGCTTGTGACACATTATCTGGATGTTCTGAACATTTGTGCCAAGTTATTCAAACATAATTCAATGCATGATAAAGTTACAGCCCAGACAATATAAGATGTCAGGACTGATGCACATATGGAGCAACAGACAGCATACATGTGAACTCTCCCACTTTTAGCGGGAGACTCCCACTTTCTGTAGCCATATTTTCAAAGATTTTTCTTAAAATAAGGGGTATTTTCACACATTAAAGAAATCTCCCTCTTTTAGATGTCAAAACTTTCTTCTTTGTTTATTGCAAATTCTAAAATCTCCCTCTTTTTTAAGAAAAATCTCAAAATTTTTATATGCCCACCTTTATGAGCATAAAATAGTTTTTATCTGGGTTTCCAATATGATTTCTGTTCAAAGTAAGTGGAAATGAAATAGTACCTGTGATGAACCACACCAACCACTGAATTTGACAGAACAGGAAATATGTCCAATGGAGATATAATTTTTACACCTGAAATATCAAAACAGAATAAAGGATAAAATCTTAAAAACAAAATTTATTTTCACAAAATTTATTGAATGACGTATTCCAGGTGAAAACATCCTTATCAAAATTACTGTTAGGTTTCCTTACTTATTTAAAAAAAAGAAAGAATCAGATGAATACCATTTCAGTGAGGTGTGCATGTCTCATACATGTCCTCATAACATGAAATGTCATTCAACACTGAATTTGATATGAATGTTTAATTTATGCATAAAATTCAGCTTAAATAAGAAATTATAAATGACGAATGTGCAGTTTCACACAATGATATTTACAAAACATTGCTGTAGTTCTGCAGGAAGCATAAAGATTCAACAATAGAAATAAAGCCCTGTCATTTTAGTTCTTTTTTTCTTTTAAAAAATGTACAAAAACAAAGCTCAATTCTTCTGTAAATATAATGAGAAGTTTCTTATTTGGAAAATAAATTGAATTATAGTTGAAATTATATTTGCCAGTATGTCTGAAAATCCTTAAGAAATGGGAATATTTCAGGTATACAACTATGTCTATACTTACCATGCTAACAGGCTTTTCTTCAAAAAAATCTTGTGTTTCTTCTACTTTGGGCATGTCTTGAAACACGTATGGATTTTCTACTCCTTCACTGTTAAAATTTACACCATAATCAAGGTATGCACAGTAAACATAATATTATGATCACATACTATTTCCAAAATTTAAAAAAATTCAATCAGCGGAAATTTCATATTAAATATAAATAATTTGTTTCATATTCTGAAAAATGATTATTTGCTCCATTACAATCTGTCATATCGGGAGTAACTAATAGCAACTTTTTGACAACAACAAGAGCTGTCGGTAGGACAGCAACGCTCGACTATTCTTAGTGCTTGATAGTAAAAAAAAAATGCTTGATACAGTTACCTCCTCCTGTTTACAGGTTGGGGTAATGATGGTGAACAAGTGTGCAAAGTTTCAAAGCCATATGTCAATGAACTTTGAAAATATTTGAGGTATTACAAAAACTTTAACATAAATTCTAAGTCGAAAAAGGGGCATAATTCTGTCAAAATGCTTGATAGAGTTACCTCCTCCTGTCTACAAGTTGGGGTCATGATGGTGAACAAGTGTGCAAAGTTTCAAAGCCATATGTCAATGGACTTGGAAAATATTTAAGGTATTACAAAAACTTTAACATAAATTCTAAGTCGAAAAAGGGGCATAATTCTGTCAAAATGGTTGATAGAGTTACCTCCCGCCATATGTCAATGAACTTTGAAAATATTTGAACTATTACAAAAACTTTAACATAAATTCTAAGTCGAAAAAAGGGCATAATTCTGTCAAAATGCTTGATAGAGTTACCACCTCCTGTCTACAGGTTGGGGTCATGATGGTGAACAAGTGTGCAAAGTTTCAAAGCCATATGTCAATGGACTTTTAAAATATTTGAACTATTACAAAAACTTTAACATAAGTGGTTACGCCGACGCAGACGCCGACGCTCGGGTGACTGCAATAGCTCTACTTATTCTTATCGAATAGTCGAGCTAAAAATTAATAAAATAAATACTTTAACTGATATTTCCATACAAGCTACTTATTTATATTATAAAAGTAGCATATGTTATCCTTACAATTCTGAAACACTTCTTTCTTACCAGGTGTCAAAAATCCAAATGTTATGCCATTCAACATGACCACATCATCTGTCGGCATTTGAACAGCTGGTTTCTGAAAATAAATAATACTTATCAATTTATTATCAATTTTGGAGGAGTTAATATGGCACATAATTTTTAAGGGGTTTGATCTCGTTTTGTAGCTATCTTATAATACTACTCACTTATAGCCACCTTAAAGGGGTCAGATTTCTTTGTTCTCTTTTTATTTTGTGTCATTCAGACAGGGACGTCCTTTTCTCTATATTATCATGAATTTGATATTGTGACCAACTGTTACTTTCATCCAGGTCATGCTAGGACTTCATATTTGGTCTCATTTTGTAACTATTGTATAGAACTACTCACCTATTCACACTTTTATGGGGACACATTTCTTTGTTCTCTGTCTATTTTGTGTCATACTGAAAGGGGCGACCTTTTGTCTATATTTTCATGTTAAAGTGATAGTGTGACTAACTGTTACTTTCATCCAGGTCATGCTAGGACTTTAAATTTGGTCTCATTTTGAAGCTATTGCATAGAACTACATACCTTTCCCTCCTTTCATGGGGTCACATTTCTTTGTTCTCTGTCTATTTTTGTGTCATACTAACAGGGACGTCCTTTTCTCTATATTTTTATGTGAGTGTAATATACTAACAAAGTGTATGTCCCTTCCAGGTCATGCTAGGACTTCAAATTTTGTCTCATATTGTGGCTATTGTATAGAACTACTAACCTATACCCACTTTTATGGGGTCACATTTCTTTGTTCCCTGATTATTTTGTGTCATACTGACAGGGACGGCCTTTTGTCAATATTTTCATGTTAAAGTGATACTGTGATTAAGTGTATATTCCATCCAGGTCATACTAGGACTTCAAATTTGGTCTCATTTTGTAACTATTGTATAGTACTACATACCTATACCCCCTTTCATGGTGTCACATTTCTTTGTTCTCTGTCTTTTTTGTGTCATTCAGACAGGGACGTCCTTTTCTCGATGGAAATTTGATATTGGGACAAACTGTACCTTTCATCCAGGTCATGCTAGGACTTCAAATTTGGTCTCATATTGTAGCTATTGTATAGAACTACTAACCTATACCCACTTTTATGGGGTCACATTTCTTTGCTCTCCGTCTATTTTGTGTCATACTGACAGGGGCGGCCTTTTGTCTATATTTTCTTGTTAAAGTGATAGTGGGACAAAGTTTAAGTTCCTTCCAGGTCATGCTAGGACTTTAAATTTGGTCTCATTTTGTAGCTATTGTATAGTACTACTAACCTATACCCACTTTCATGGGGTCACATTTCGTTGTTCTCTGTCTATTTTGTGTCATTCAGACAGGGACGACCTTTTCTCTATATTATCATGGAAATTTGATATTGTGACCAACTGTAACTTTCTTTCAGGTCATGATAGGACTTTAAATTTGCTCTCATTTTGTAGCTATTGTATAGAACTACATACCTATACCCCCTTTTATGGGGTCACATTTCTTTGTTCTCTGTCTATTTTGTGTCATTCAGACAGGGACGTCCTTTTCTCTATATTTTTATGTGAATTTGATATTGTGACCAACTGTTACTTTCATCCAGGTCATGCTAGGACTTCAAATTTGGTCTCATTTTGTAGCTATTGTATAGTACTACTTACCTATACCCACTTTCATGGGGTCACATTTCTTTGTTCTCTGTCTATTCTGTGTCATACTGACAGGGACGTCCTTTTCTCTATATTTTTATGTGAGTGTAATATTCTAACAAAGTGTATGTCCCTTCCAGGTCATGCTAGGACTTCAAATTTGGTCTCATTTTGTAGCTATTATATAGTACTACATACCTATACCCCCTTTTATGGGGTCACATTTCTTTGTTCTCTGTCTATTTTGTGTCATACTGACAGGGGCGGCCGTTTGTCTAAATTTTCATGTTACAGTGATATTGTGACTAAGTGTACATTCCATCCAGGTCATGCTAGGACTTCAAATTTGGTCTCATTTTGTAGCTATTGTATAGAACTACTTACCTATACCCACTTTTATGGGGTCACATTTCTTTGTTCTCTGCCTATTTTGTGTCATACTGACAGGGGCGGCCGTTTGTCTAAATTTTCATGTTACAGTGATATTGTGACTAAGTGTACATTCCATCCAGGTCATGCTAGGATTTCAAATTTGGTCTCATTTTGTAGCTATTGTATAGAACTACTTACCTATACCCACTTTTATGGGGTCACATTTCTTTCTTCTCTGTCTATTTTGTGTCATACTGACAGGGACGGCCGTTTGTCTAAATTTTCATGTTACAGTGATATTGTGACTAAGTGTACATTCCATCGGGGTCATGCTAGTACTTCAAATTTGGTCTCATTTTGTAGCTATTGTATAGAACTACTAACCTATACCCACTTTCATGGGGTCACATTTCTTTCTTCTCTGTCTATTTTGTGTCATACTGACAGGGACGGCCTTTTGTCTATATTTTTATGTTACAGTCATATTGTGACAAAGTGTAAGTTCCTTCCAGGTCATGCTAGGACTTCAAATTTGGTCTCATTTTGTAGCTATTATATAGTTCTACATACCTGTACCCCCTTTTATGGGGTCACATTTCTTTGTTCTCTGTCTATTTTGTGTCATTCAGACAGGGACGACCTTTTCTCTATATTATCATGGAAATTTGATATTGTGACCAACTGTTACTTTCATCCAGGTCATGCTAGGACTTCAAATTTGGTCTCATTTTGTAGCTATTGTATAGAACTACTAACCTATACCCACTTTCATGGGGTCACATTTCTTTGTTCTCTGTCTATTTTGTGTCATACTGACAGGGGCGGCCTTTTGTCTATATTTTCATGTTAAAGTGATATTGGGACTAAGTGTACATTCCATCCAGGTCATGCTAGGACTTCAAATTTGGTCTCATTTTGTAGCTATTGTATAGTACTACTAACCTATACCCACTTTCATGGGGTCACATTTCGTTGTTCTCTGTCTATTTTGTGTCATTCAGACAGGGACGACCTTTTCTCTATATTATCATGGAAATTTGATATTGTGACCAACTGTAACTTTCTTTCAGGTCATGATAGGACTTTAAATTTGCTCTCATTTTGTAGCTATTGTATAGAACTACATACCTATACCCCCTTTTATGGGGTCACATTTCTTTGTTCTCTGTCTATTTTGTGTCATACTGACAGGGACAGCCTTTTGTCTATATTTTTATGTTACAGTCATATTGTGACAAAGTGTAAGTTTCATCCAGGTCATGCTAGGACTTCAAATTTGGTCTCATTTTGTAGCTATTATATAGTACTACATACCTGTACCCCCTTTTATGGGGTCACATTTCTTTGTTCTCTGTCTATTTTGTGTCATTCAGACAGGGACGTCCTTTTCTCTATATTTTTATGTGAGTGTAATATTCTAACAAAGTGTATGTCCCTTCCAGGTCATGCTAGGACTTCAAATTTGGTCTCATTTTGTAGCTATTGTATAGAACTACTTACCTATACCCACTTTTATGGGGTCACATTTCTTTCTTCTCTGTCTATTTTGTGTCATACTGACAGGGACGTCCTTTTGTCTATATTTTTATGTGAGTGTAATATACTAACAAAGTGTATGTCCCTTCCAGGTCATGCTAGGACTTCAAATTTTGTCTCATATTGTGGCTATTGTATAGAACTACTAAGCTATACCCACTTTCATTGGGTCACATTTCTTTGATCTCTGTCTATTTTGTGTCATACTGACAGGGGCGGCCTTTTGTCAATATTTTCATGTTAAAGTGATACTGTGATTAAGTGTATATTCCATCCAGGTCATGCTAGGACTTCAAATTTGGTCTCATTTTGTAGCTATTGTATAGTACTACTAACCTATACCCACTTTCATGGTGTCACATTTCTTTGTTCTCTGTCTTTTTTGTGTCATTCAGACAGGGACGTCCTTTTCTCGATGGAAATTTGATATTGGGACCAACTGTACCTTTCATCCAGGTCATGCTAGGACTTCAAATTTGGTCTCATTTTGTAGCTATTGTATAGTACTACTTACCTATACCCACTTTCATGGGGTCACATTTCTTTGTTCTCTGTCTATTCTGTGTCATACTGACAGGGACGTCCTTTTCTCTATATTTTTATGTGAGTGTAATATTCTAACAAAGTGTATGTCCCTTCCAGGTCATGCTAGGACTTCAAATTTGGTCTCATTTTGTAGCTATTGTATAGAACTACTTACCTATACCCACTTTTATGGGGTCACATTTCTTTGTTCTCTGCCTATTTTGTGTCATACTGACAGGGGCGGCCGTTTGTCTAAATTTTCATGTTACAGTGATATTGTGACTAAGTGTACATTCCATCCAGGTCATGCTAGGATTTCAAATTTGGTCTCATTTTGTAGCTATTGTATAGAACTACTTACCTATACCCACTTTTATGGGGTCACATTTCTTTCTTCTCTGTCTATTTTGTGTCATACTGACAGGGACGGCCTTTTGTCTATATTTTTATGTTACAGTCATATTGTGACAAAGTGTAAGTTTCATCCAGGTCATGCTAGGACTTCAAATTTGGTCTCATTTTGTAGCTATTATATAGTACTACATACCTGTACCCCCTTTCATGGGGTCACATTTCTTTCTTCTCTGTCTATTTTGTGTCATACTGACAGGGACGGCCTTTTGTCTATATTTTTATGTTACAGTCATATTGTGACAAAGTGTAAGTTCCTTCCAGGTCATGCTAGGACTTCAAATTTGGTCTCATTTTGTAGCTATTATATAGTACTACATACCTGTACCCCCTTTTATGGGGTCACATTTCTTTGTTCTCTGTCTATTTTGTGTCATTCAGACAGGGACGACCTTTTCTCTATATTATCATGGAAATTTGATATTGTGACCAACTGTTACTTTCATCCAGGTCATGCTAGGACTTCAAATTTGGTCTCATTTTGTAACTATTGTATAGAACTACTTACCTATACCCACTTTCATTGGGTCACGTTTCTTTGTTCTCTGTCTATTTTGTGTCATACTGACAAGGGCAGCCTTTTGTCTATATTTTCATGTTAAAGTGATATTGGGACAAAGTGTATGTCCCTTCCAGGTCATGCTAGGACTTCAAATTTGGTCTCATTTTGTAGCTATTGTATAGAACTACTTACCTATACCCACTTTTATGGGGTCACATTTCTTTGTTCTCTGTCTATTTTGTGTCATTCAGACAGGGACTTCCTTTCCTCTATATTATCATGGAAATTTGATATTGTGACCAACTGTCACTTTCATCCAGGTCATGCTAGGACTTCAAATTTGGTCTCATTTTGTAGCTATTGTATAGAACTACTTACCTATACCCACTTTTATGGGGTCACATTTCTTTGTTCTCTGTCTATTTTGTGTCATTCAGACAGGGACGTCCTTTTCTCTATATTATCATGGAAATTTTATATTGTGACCAACTGTCACTTTCATCCAGGTCATGCTAGGACTTCAAATTTGGTCTCATTTTGTAGCTATTGTATAGAACTACTTACCTATACCCACTTTTATGGGGTCACATTTCTTTGTTCTCTGTCTATTTTGTGTCATTCAGACAGGGACGTCCTTTTCTCTATATTATCATGGAAATTTGATATTGTGACCAACTGTCACTTTCATCCAGGTCATGCTAGAACTTCAAATTTGGTCTCATTTTGTAGCTATTGTATAGAACTACTAACCTATACCCACTTTCATGGGGTCACATTTCTTTGTTCTCTGTCTATTTTGTGTCATACTGACAGGGGCAGCCTTTTGTCTATATTTTCATGTTACAGTGATATTGGGACAAAGTGTAAGTTCCTTCCAGGTCATGCTAGGACTTCAAATTTGGTCTCATTTTGTAGCTATTGTATAGAACTACTTACCTATACCCACTTTTATGGGGTCACATTTCTTTGTTCTCTGTCTATTTTGTGTCATTCAGACAGGGACTACCTTTTCTCTATATTATCATGGAAATTTAATATTGTGACCAACTGTTACTTTCATCCAGGTCATGCTAGGACTTCAAATTTGGTCTCATTTTGTAGCTATTGTATAGAACTACTTACCTATACCCACTTTTATGGGGTCACATTTCTTTGATCTCTGTCTATTTTGTGTCATACTGACAGGGGCGGCCTTTTGTCTATATTTTCATGTTAAAGTGATATTGTGACCAACTGTTACTTTCATCCAGGTCATGCTAGGACTTCAAATTTGGTCTCATTTTGTAGCTATTGTATAGTACTACTAACCTATACCCACTTTTATGGGGTCACATTTCATCAAAGTAAAAAGTATAATAATTAATACTCATTCATAATAACATTTACCTTAAATACACTGCCTTCCTTCTTTCTTAGGTCAAGCAAATATTTCAAAAGTAATAAAGTTTATTAATATGTAACAAATAATTTTACAGTATAGGTCACCAGTTAACAGAGCCGGACTTGGCAACAAATCCCCCCATTTGTCTCTGTCCAGTTGAATCTGACAAGTACACTCACAGTCTCCAAGTCTGGTTCACTCAATAAAATTCCAGGGACCAGACAAGTACCAGACAAGGAGACACTTCCTACCTATATTCAATTAAATCCTAGCATGCAAAATATTTACAGGTTGCACTATGTTACAGGGGAAATGAACTTTAATGTTGATAAATGTAAGGTGATGCATTATGGTCATGCAAATCCTCAAAAACAGTATGTTATGAATAACAAGACTTTATCGGATACTCAAGAAGAATGTGATCTAGGAGTTATTTTTGAAAAAGATCTTAAATTTAGCAAACATATTTCTACAAAGATTAATAAGGCGAATAGTATTTTAGGCCTTATTAACCGGTCTTTTGAATTTTTAGATGAATACACCTTTGTGAAATTGTATACAGCTTTGATTCGTCCTCATGTTGAATTTGCAAATGTTGTGTGGAATCCATATTTAATAAAAGATATATCAAGTCTAGAAAAACTTCAACAAAGAGCAACAAAACTAGTTTCATCATTAAAAGATCTGACATATATTGACCGTCTTAAAAAGCTTAAACTGCCAAGTCTAATACATCGCAGATTAAGAGGGGACATGCTTCAGACGTTCAAAAAAGTAAAAGACTTAGATGACTGTGTTTTTGAAAATTTTTTTAGTTATTCGGCATCAACAAGGGGACATAATTTAAAACTAGAAATGCCTCGTAGTAGAACAACTCATTGCCTACATCAGTTTTCAAGACGTGTAATTAAAACATGGAATAATTTGCCAAAAAATGTAGTAGACTCAAAAAGTGTTCATGAATTTAAAATAAAACTAGACCAACACTGGACCGGAGACACTCCATATAAAGTTTAAAATGTTTATTGAAAAATTATGCTGTTATAATTGTATAGCAGAGTGAACAGAAGTAGATAAAAGTATATATAATTAAACATAGAAGTGGTGAGAGCAATAAGAAGAAGTACTGAAAGATTGTCAAAAGAAGAGGGGCTTAAAAAGGGCTTGGCCCTTCCATCAGAGCCCAAAATCATCCTACAGGTATCCTACAGGTAAGATGATCTAGACAAACTCAAGCCTAGTAAATGCAAAGCAATCCATTTCTTCACATATTAAAAAAACACATTTCTTCACATAGATCTATTAAAAAAATACTGTACATGAGACTGCAAATATGATAATTTAAAATTTAAGTGATTTCAATTATGTAATTCAACTCTTTACCAAACATGCCTTGGCCAAAGAGGGCCATTCTTTCTCGTCTAGGATCATTTTCATGTTTATAAATAATAGGAATTATTTAACCTCTTCACCGGTTACACCGTTAACTCAAGCGGGGTAACTCAGCATAATCTCAATAACGTCTATCGGTCGCTGGGTTAAGGGTCGCCACTATCGGTCGCTGATTTGTGCTCATTCTTTCTCTGCGTCAACACGGAAGTGTTTTGTGTTTCCGCAACATCTCTACCGTCTACTAAGCCTGCACGGAAAGCAAACATTTTCATTCGTACTCAAAAATTTAGTTTTCATTATTTTCGTCCGCATTATGTTATGGTTTATGATTAAAGCGTATGGTATTGATTTTTTTATCAAACAGCAATATGGATGTTTTTATTTACAAAGTTCAATCAAGATATTAACTTATCCAAAAAAGTAATTTATAGTGAAGTGAACTTTTTGAGTACGAATTAAAATTCTTGTTTCATTTGTTGAAAAAGACAAGGGGCCGTATTCATAAAGGATCTTAAGTTTTAAGGGAAAAATGTCCTTATCTTGAAGAAAACTCCCTAAGGTAAAATTTTCCCTTATTTTTGAAGTCAAAAATCCCTTAAGTGAATTCCTTAGGCAAGAAATTCCTCAACTTAAATTTTATGGCTGTGACTAAAAAAAGGATTGGAGCACCACACTAAATACCGTATTCCGGTATATACCGGACAAGGCGCTTGAATGATAAAATGCTAAAATCTTGTCTTTTTACCCAACGGAATGAACTTTAACAGGTCTAATTCATCTTTTCACACCGAATCAAGTACGATAATGAAGGAAAAATGTAAAATTCGGCGAAAAAAACGATATTTGTCTATTTTGTGATCATGATTTCTGCAAGCGTCTAGAGGTATTGCTCCAATCCTGTATTGAGCTAAATCCAAATTTTATCCTAAGGCGAAAATTTCGTTTAATATCAGTTTTTCTACTTGTAATTACCGACTGGAGAGCACTGACTGTGCTAAAAATAGTAACAAAAACCAAACTCCTCACAGCGGTTACGTCACGCTTTGCTACTTTAACTGTACAGATCAGGGGAAGTAACCGCTGCGAGGAGTTTGAACAAAAACAAGATGGCTGACCTAGAGCAGGAAATGCGCGACGTTTCAGACCTTTTCATGGATATTTGTTGTATATCGTGGAATTATTCGGACAGTCATCATATGAAGCAGGCAGAGGAAAAAGATTGTGGGTTTAACACTAGTGGCATGGTTTGAGACTGACGTTTTTAAACATTATCAGTTTCATTCGCATGTTGTTCTTGTTTACCTAACTCGCTTCGAAATTTTCGGAAAATATCGTCATTCCCCCTAACTTCGTGACTACCGGAAGTTCGTGACTTTTTTGTAAACGAATCCAGTGAAATCACGCGCGCACCTGCGAGATGTAAACAACTGTACGTAACTAGGTCATGTCGTCACAAATGTCATCGTGATATTTATATGCCAAAATGCGCTTTAAACAGGTAAAAACCAACCTTTATACACATACCAGTAGTAAAAATGTATTTTCTGTTATTCCCAAAAATGTCCTCTCTTAAAAAGTATTTTTTTCCATGAAAAATAACATTTCAAGTTGTAAAAAGTTATCCGTCTGCTGTATTTACATTTAGATTTGACAGCCTCGTTTTGAAAAAATGTTTACTCTAAGGCTAACTAAAAAAATATTGATCAATTGTACCCCATGTCTCTTATCAACAAGCAGAAAAATTAAGTGTTTTTTCTTGTTGTTGTAGGCAAAGCCTGTGCATTTGAAGGCCAAGTACAGATCATATTCACCCACAGCCTTGCAAAATGCATACAAGTCTGTTGTTGAAAGTGGAACACCTGTTCTCAGGGCTAGTAAATTATTTGGTGTGCCTCAACAAACTTTAAGAGACAGAGTGTTAGGAAAGATAGACCCTGAATGTATCACTACTGGAAGAGAACCTGTTTTGAATATGTTTGAAGAGGCCAAAATTGTACAGCATATTAAAACTATGGCTAATTATGGTTATGGTTACACCATGCAAGAGTGTGTAGACATTGCAACTGAGTATGCAGTTAGTGTTGGTAAAAGAACCAGAGACAATCCATTGACATTAAGGTGGATGGATGGATTTCGTAAACGTTGGCCGGAAGTGAAAGTTTCAAATCCCAGAAGTATTGAACATGTTAGAGCTAAAATGACAAGTGAAGCAACAGTCAATGCTTACTTCAGTAATTTACTTATTACTCTCACAAAGAATGATTTACTTGACAAACCACATAGAATATTTAATGTGGATGAGAAGGGAATTTCACTTAATCATAAGCCCCCTCACATTGTTTCATGTTCTACTGGTCCACCTGCTGTGACTACTGGGAAAAGTAAAACTATAACTATTTTAGGTTGTGGTAGTGCTGGTGGTATTGCTATTCCACCGTATTTTGTTTTTCCGGGTAAGCGTATGCTCCCAGAGTTACTAGAAGGTTCTTCTCCAGGTGCAAGTGGGACTGTAAGTGATTCAGGTTGGTCTAACAGTGCAATATTTAGGACTTACCTTGAGGAGCATTTTATTAAGTACTTACCTGGTGGTACTGCAGAGCCTGTTTTTACTTCTCCTTGATGGCCACAAGTCTCATGTCTCTGTAGACTTGGTAGAATGGGCTAAGAGTCAAAATATTATAATATTTGTTCTTCCAGCCCACACCTCACATATCTTACAGCCCCTAGATGTAGCTGTTTTTGGTCCATTCCAGAAGATATATAACAATGAGTGTCATAAGTTCATGCGCATGAATTCTACCAATATCACAAGGTACAATGTCTGCCAACTGGCATGTAGGGCTTATACAAAATCACTTTCCAGTGAAAATCTTCAGTCAGCTTTCAAGAAGACTGGAATATGTCCATTTGACAAATTTGCTGTACCTCAGGAGAGTCTTGTTCCAGCAGTAGTATTTCAAGATATTGATATGGCTGAATGTACTGATACAGATAGTCAGGCTACTGTTGAAGGGGGTATTTGTAGTGGATAAGGATGCATCTGGGGATTTTTTATTGGAAAGGGAGATGACTTTGAGGAAGGTGAAGAGTGAGAAACCAAAGCAAAAGGTTAGGAATACCATGAGTAGAATTGTCTCAGGGAAGGATCTATCAGCTAAGTCTGTTCTTGATTCTATGAAACAACATGAAATAAATCAGAAAGGTCATAAAAAAATCAACTTCAAAAAAGGGTAGTAAATCATTCAAAATTAAAAAAAGTGTCATGCATGCTCAGATGGATAATGAACCTCAGCCTGGCCCTTCCCATATAACAGTAAATGCTAGTATATCTTCAGACTCTGACACAGAAACAATTATTGACAGTGAAGTCTGCTGTGTTTGTGGTAACTTTGAGCCTGTTGGTCTGGCTAAAAAGAAATCTGTAACATTTGTACAGTGGGCACAGTGTGATGGTATCAAAAACCATGTCCCATGTAAGCACTGGACTCATCTGGGATTCTGTACCAATAAAAAAAGTGTTGATAAAACAGAAAAATTCTTCTGTCCTCACTGCTCTTCTAGACATGAAGAGTAATTGACTGAAATACACAATAAAATAAATATAGTTAGCAAGTTTTGACAGTTACTGTTATTTAGTTAAATTTATTAACTGTTGTAATTTTTTAACAAACTCACTGAAAAACACTGAATTAGTGTACTGTGGCCTATCAAGGGAGACTACTCTACATGTCACGAAGTTAGGGGGAAAATTTGAATTCAATATGGCGGATGATGACCTAGTTTAAAATGAAATTGAATATGTTTTGAAAAAATGCTGCTTGTTAATAATTGGACTTGATGGAAGAAAATACATTATTTTAACAGGTTAGTGTACAAGTTTGATTATATATCTGTTATTTATTTATTTATTTCTCATTATGCGCTTATGGTCACGAACTTCCGGTGGGCTAGGATACAAAGTGAAAGTAGGGTAAGTGTGTTTACTATTTTAGTAAAAATTTACCGATAAATTATGCCGATATTATGATTAAACATACGTAATAGCGTGTTTACTAAAGAACCAATGTTTTACTCCTAATTGATTTCTTGACGATACATTTGACAATTTTTCTGAAAAATTATTTCGAGACGGAGTCAATAACTCAAATTATTCGTCCCCTGATCACTTCGTGCACATTTTGCCTGTTTTTGGTAAATTGTTGGAAGTTGACACTTTTTTTCTGAAAAAAAAACATCTTGGTAACAAATTAAGAAGCCGTGTAGCAAGGGGGTTATTGGACGATTGCCAAAGTTTATTAATTTTAAACATCATCAAGTCCAAGGTACATGTAGATCTATATATATGTACATCATACATGTAGCCCTCCATGTTTAATATTATCTTGTCTCTTAATTTTGTTTATAATTATTTACTTTTTTTTTTTTCATAATTACAAGAACAAAAAGTTAGATATAGCTCTACATACCATATATAAAATAGGTAAATAATGTTTTAACAAATACATATCATTATTTTAATGCTTTTAATTACAATTTGAGAATTTTACATGATATAATGTAATAGAAAAATTAAAAAATTAGGGGACTTCAGTATTTTTTAGCTTATTTTTATTTTAAACATTTAAGACATAGGTTATTTATCATTTTTTGGGGCAGGGTTTTAAACTCCCCTAGAGAAAAAACTCCAAAAAAAAAAAAAATTCCCCTTAAAAAATCGAAAGATTTCATAATTATTTTATGACCCCCTTTCAAAATTTTCCATTTTTTTTTAAGTTCCCCCCCATTGTTTTCTGGGTTTAAAGGGCAAAACAGTTTTTTTTAAACCAGGGGAAACCATATGCCGCTTTTAATGGAAGGGCACTTACATGTACATTGAAGGTTCCCATGATGACCGCCATATAAAACACATTTTCAGAGTTTAAAAATTGTACTGGCAGTTCATTTTTAAAATGTTGAATTCCGTTTCCCAGCCGGTGCTAGGGGGGCCCGTTGGACAAGTGGTTTGCACTTGACAGTACTGTCCAATGAACAGACTCAATTCAAACTGAGCCTGTTACATTTTCAATTGTGTCATGTTGGGCTTTTCTTCAGGGATTCTTATTTTATCCATTTTATTTCTGTTAATATATCTGCTTTTAATTCAGCTGT